ACAAAGTAGAAAAACTATTGGCTGTATAGTCTTAGTTGTGTCTGTGATACAATAGTTACCGAATCGATCTAATCTTTAAAGATGAAATACTTTCATGCACGGAGAATTGAGTATAAATGATATTCTATTATTGGTATGTCATTCTTAAGACTTTTAACCTATGACACACATGATATTTTCGTGCCTTAGAAGAAATCTTATTAACTCTAACTCATGTAATATCACGGATAAGTACAATTATATTTTTATTAATATTTGAAATTTTCTAATATGGAATGGTTTATTGGTTTGAATTTAAAGACGCGTCAAATGCTCTGCCAAGACATGCATAACCAACAGTTGATTGGACTGTCTTTTATCCTATATGTAATTCCTTTCTAGGCGATATCCTCCGTGCATAGAAAAAAACTTTGAAGCACTTTAAAATGTTCTTTATTTCATAAACAAAGAATTCCTTTGCACGAAAAATAAGAATATTCGTGTGCCTGCATATGTTTTTTTTTTTTTTTTTTTATATGCGGCAGTTTCAGCTTTCACTAAATCTATTAATCGAATTTAATTCCTGTTGAAATATTCGGGAATTGGAAATTTATGGCTCACAATATTAAGTATTGAGATACGGTACAAAATTTAAAATAACAATGTAATAAATAAACCATTAACCGATGATGGATGAATAATCATTCGTCTTTTGGTCTAGTCCTGGTTTGGTAGCACGTGATCATAAGCCAATTCAGGCTTTACTGATCATTGATTACATCTGCAACATTTATGTATATGCGCATTGACATCACACGTGCGGTCAAAATTCAATTGTTGAAATTTAAATAAGATTGTTTGATTGAATATGGTTCCATTTAGGGAACATTAGTCACTAACGAAGATATATCTAAAAAAAGTTAGCTTACTCTTGCAAAAAAATGTTTAAGATCCACATACGTAAGTTGTACGCATATAGAGATGCGATTGTATTGTGTTTTGATAATTTTTATAATTTATTAATTTTATGCAATAAAAAAACCATGTGGACAAAGATTTGGTCGCAAATATTAACTATAATGCATAAGAATAAAGATTTAAATGTACACCAACCATTTCTCTTTAAGAAAGACTGACTTAATGATTAGACAAGGCCCAGGAATCTCCGATAAGTTCCTGCCAATTTATTGATAAATGTAGATTTTAAGGTTCTTTGTGTAATTATAAGTATGCAGATTTATAAGCAGAATAACATTAATGGTTACACGAATTCTCTTTCACACTTACTTAGTTAAATAAGAAATGCAAGGTATATTCTAATAATGGAATGATCATACGTATATCAGAATACGTATAGTTGACTTCAAAAAATTGAGGCTTGCAACAATTACCAATTGAAATAAACCTGGGTACAAACTTTTTTAAATCTTAATAGTTTTAATAAAATGTAAATACTCAAATAGAACGTTTGAGTAACTTATGAATCAATAATTAACTCACTATAACATGATACGTATAGTTTTTTATTGTTGATATTCCAAATAAAACAGTAACTATTTTATAATCAAATATAAAAAAAAAGAAAGGATTGATATGATTTACAAACACCGTATGTATATGCTACGTAGTCATCATCGTAATTAAAACGGAAACCGTAATTTTATGCTAACAATTACTGCGTGATCATCTAGGAAAAAAAACAAAACATTAAAAAATTGAAATATTTTGTATAACGAATAAATTCGTGTTACTTCTGTTTTCATTGTAATTTCTTATTTTTTTTTTTCCTTAACTTTACTCACGCTAATCTTATTGTCATTTAGGCGGATACGGTTAAACCGATAATCCTAATCATGTTTTTAAATATCGTGAGAACGATTCAGAAATAATATTACGCTAAAGTCTTTGTCTCTTCGGTACTCTTTGTCCCCATATTCTGTAGATATATGCAGAGATTTTCATTCTTAGTTGTCCGTGTTTGGATGCTTGTACTATAGGTCACCATCATGTGCATTGTTAATCCTTAATTTGGCACACAAGACGTAATGGGTGACTACATATTCGTGTAACCTAGTCTCATGTGCTTTCTTTGTCAAATAAATAGTCGCGTCAACAACGATGGTGACAATGAAAGTTCAAAGGTAAATCATATAAAAGGCTTTCAAGCTTTGAATATTGGTGTCAGCGAAACTGTCAAGTTTTTGTTTTTTCTTTCACGTCCCTTTCGTAGTTCTCTTTCGCGGTTCTTACGCGGTATTTGGCTAAAGTAACATTCGCTCTTAAATCTACGATACGACTTACACTCCAACCTTTAGAGCTTGAAAGTTCTTCCAACTTCATGATTATATGCTCAATAGCAAAAAGAACCAAATAGACTGCATTAATTTTAGAGTTAGGATAGAGAGTCTCGAAAGACGGAAATTATCATAAATAATATAACCAGGTTATGGATAATATTACCACAGACAACAAAACAGTTAGCAATGATAATAATATTGACTATTACAACAATTTTATCATTTTCAATGTTGTTCACCTAAATCGTGCCCTTTCAACAACGATTGTCTTCATTTGGTCTCTTTATTTTGTTCTTTCCCGATCTACTCCAACTCAACAAACTCCTGTAATAAGATGTATTATGATAAGCTCACGTGGCATTGGGATAATTTTATTGTTCATTTCGATGGCTTTAGAAATAGTTGCCAACCTGATAGCATTTGCAAATAGTAATAATCTTACTAATCCTTCACTCGACATATTAACTGGTGCTCCCTTAATCATTACTTTGGTTTTGTGGAATTCAGCTTTGGCGCTTAAAGCTGTATCTTTATTTATTGCTCTTACACGTTATGCGCCACTCACAAAAACTCTTTCAAAAGAACCAATAATGTCCAAATTTCAGTATTCATGTTGCAATTCCTTTAACTTTATTAGTGGTTTGATAGTATATCCCGTACTTTACGTTGTTATTCTTCTCGCAAAGTCAAAATGGGAAGCTGCCTTGACTATGTCTCAACTTTTCTTTATGCTCCAACTCATACTTGCTGAAATAATGTTTCTTATACTAAATAAGCGTATGAGTATTGCGTTGGATGAAGGTTTGCTAATGGGAAGAAACGCAATTCAACAAGTGCGGACACTCCGATCAAGAAATTGGTTTATTATAGCTTTTGTATTTGCGGAAATTTGTTCTTTATCTATCTATAACATTGACCTCTTGACAAGAAATATGATTCGAACAAATTTTGCTGCTACTGTATTTATTTTTGGAATAATGTGCATAAGTTCTGCACTTGTGTATGGAGCCATAACCCTCACTTTGTGCCCTGTATATCCACAATCTCCACTTTCTTGTGAAGGAACACCAACAAATTCCATAATAACTCATAACATAACAAGTCACAACCATGCTTTAAATAATTTTACTAATCAGGCTGTTGATAAAGATAAAGAAGATAATAATCGAATGTCTCAAATTCAACCCTCAACATCATCAAGAACTGGTTTTACCTCATTTCGTCTAAAGTCTTATTTTCAAAAATACAATTATTCCGAACCATTATCCTTTATATTTCCAAAACGATCATCACAAATATCTTTCGATCAAAATCAAATGAATAGAGACAATCTTGAAGATAATTCTTGTGCTTCTTCGATCAATGAAAGTTCGAATAAAAGATATAGCACAAATAGTGCCATAATCATTAATAAAATTGTTGTTCATAAACAAGAAAGTTTGGAAAATACTCAGGAAATCAAATATCTTGAAGGTGTTGTCCTGGCTTCTGACAAGTCGCATAGATTTTCCAATAATAATTTATAAAAATGTTAATTTTTCAACAAAAATGTCAAAAAATTGTACAATTCTTTTATATATAGTGTTTATATATCATTGCATTCACATACATTCTTTTATCTTTTGCATATAATACACACCCACCTCTCATACATCATTCTTTTATAGATTTCACAATAGAACATTATCAAATAAATTATTAGAATATATTGCATTTTTTTCATATTTTATATCTCTTTCTATTTTTCATTTATTTATTCATTCTTGGTTAAATATCCCATTCATTTTATATTTACTTAAATTTTTATATTCCCTGGCGGAATATTCATTTACAATATCCTTGCCTTCATACCATACGCTCATTTCTATTGTAACCATATATTCACGCCTCTATGCATACCAAATTATATATATATATATATATATATATATTCTTTTAACCTACGTACACATCTTATATACAATCTTTTTTCGTGTATGTATTTTTTTTTCCTGTACATCAGAATTTAAAATATATAGTTACTTTATATTATTTATTTAATACTAATACTGAAATATGTAAAAAGTTTCTATGGTCAAATTACTGATGGTTGTGGGCATC